ATCTATCTATCTATCTATCTATCTATCATTTGTACGATTTATAGGCCTCCCAGTCCTGGAGGACTCCGGGCGGCTTACAACGAAGGAAAAAATAAATAATAAAAAATGAAAATAAAAATAAAAATAGCAGTTAGACTTATATACTGCTTCATAGGGCTTTCATCCCTCTCTAAGCAGTTTACAGAGTCAGCATATTGCCTCCAACAATCCGGGTCCTCATTTCACCCACCTCGGAAGGATGGAAGGCTGAGTCAAACAAGTTAAAATCAACACACATACATTCCTTATGATCGGGGCTGGACCTCAACAATGAGGTCAACAGCCCCAGGCCTGCCGGAATAGCCAGGTTTTAACAGCTTTTCTGAAGGCCATGAGAGTGGGATAAGTAATTTCATGATTTTAAAAACTGGATACTAGAGGGAATAAAAAATTTTAGGTAGAAGAAGAAAACACAAGCCTGCAAAATGAAGCAAAGCATTATAGCAATGAAAATACTGAAACAGACTTTTGAAGAATGGAATCAGAACCTAGTAGCACAATATCGACAAAGTTAGTAAAAATATCTGCTTCTATGGATAGACTACATCCAAAATATGTCACTGAAGAAATAACAGATGTAGAACACATTTTATTGACAATATAAAGATAGTATCAAAAGTGCATTTATAACTAACAAGCCAAGAGAATGACTTGAAAAAGGATGTTTCACTGGATCTATAAAAGAAATTAGCTGATATTTTAAAATTCAAAGGGGAAATGCAAAGGATAACTCAAAAGAACAAGCTGGACAATTTTTTCCTTTGGATTTATTTAAAGAAGGCTTGTTAAGGTCTTGAAGAATTCTGTATGATGGAACAAAAACGAAATGAAGAGAAATCATATCCTATGACAATATTTGAATGAACTGAATATTAAGACTGTTAAAACAACTTTATATTTCTTTCTTTTACTTTTATTTGATCAAGGTTAAAACAAGATACGTTGTTACTTCTGGCAACCCTTTATGGAATTTTGTGGACACCAGAACTGAAAAGATGATGTTTTATGGATTCGTTTGTAGAGAGATGGGATGTGGGATGGAGAGATAATTATTTGTAGTTTTATAAGGGATGAATAGTCACTAAATGTTTTATACTCATTGAGTTGAAGGTTGGAAAGGACCCAGTAGGCTGGGGTTGAAAATAGAACAGAATAGTCTGGAAGTATATGGCTAATGGGCTAGCATTTTTTATTTCATATTAAATCAGCTCAGTTCAGAAACTGGCAGATTTTATATTTTATAGTTCTCTGGCCAAGGAAAAGCAAGGTAACTTTATTAAAAAGAACACCAACCCAAGTGTAATGGTAATAAAATACAGCCAATGTTAAAAACAGAAATTGAAATGTTTCAGAAGCCAGTACTATACTTATATTAATTTGAACAGATTAAGGCCAGTAGCAAAATAAAACTTTAAACAGTTAACATCTTAACGAGAAGCAGCTCAAACTAAAGTCCTGTTGAAGAACCTGCAGTGAAGGAAATCAACATACTATACACACCCCAATTTAGTTTATATAATTTAGGGTATAAATTTTACAGCTTTAGGAGAGAGCTGTGTGTTCATTTTGTTAGCTCTTTATGTGGATGATTGGTACAAATCCTTAACTGCCTACCCAAACTCTCTCCCAATGTGGTCATGAATAACTCACGCACTGCACTCTGGACTGGAGGAAATATGGGTGGAAACTAATCAAAGACAGGAGCAACCTAGAACTAAGGAGAAATTTCCTGACAGTTAGAACAATTAATCAGTGGAACAACTTGCCTCTAGAAGTTGTGAATGCTCCAACACTGGAAGTTTTTAAGAAGATGTTGGATAGCCATTTGACTGAAGTGGTGTAGGGTTTCCTGCCTAGGCAGGGGGTTGGACTAGAAGACCTTCAAAGTCCCTTCTCCAACTCTGTTATTCTATTCTATTCTATCACAAGTTATACCAATGCCTCCTAGCAGCACCTAACGACTGATCCAGTAACTGGAGGAATTCAAAACATTTCCATCAGCATAGATCATGTCTGTAATCTAAAAAGTCATATTGCCTTCTTTCTCATGCATGTTCATATTTTTGTAATATACATGCAATAACAAATGTGGAATCTATCGGAATTCCTCCTTGAATAAATCCTTCAAGCTTCCCAATTTGGGCTGTCCTACTTAACAAAAATGTTAACAACATGTTGTTTTCTCCTGCCCACCCTCTTTTTTTTCATTTAGGCAACAAGAGCAGCATTAACGCACCACTGTGAAAATCTGGGAGACTCACTGGGCAAAGAAAATGATATTGCTTTGATTATAGATGGCCAGACTCTGAAGTTTGCCCTATCCTTTGAAGTGAGGCAGTCCTTCCTGGACCTAGCATTATCCTGCAAGGCTGTCATTTGTTGCAGGTAAGAAATCCAACTGAAGTCCACTGTACTCAATGGATTTACCTTAGAGCAGTGCTGGTTAACCTTTTTGCCAGGGGAAGCGCAGGGGTTCATGCACGTGTGTGTCCACACCCATAATTCTATGCGCCCCCCCCCGCACATGTACGTGTGCCCCCCCAAGCTCCCCCGCTTTTGCCACGTGATGACACAATGACACCTTTTTGCCCTCCCCAGGCTCCAAACCCTTTCTAGGTGCCTAGGGAGGGCAAAAACCGTGGCACGACAAAACCGCGCCCGATTAAAGCGTGTCGCTGACGTCATCAACAGGGCGACAACAGCGAGCGCGGAGAAAGAAGGGTGCTTTAAATAGCGCTTTGAAAGCAAACCGTTTCAAGTTAAGGTAAGGGTTAGGTTTAGGGTTAGGTTTAGCATTAGGTTTAGGGGGGGTTAGGTTTAGGGTTAGGTTTAGCATTAGGTT